TGCCTATCTTTTCAGAGTTTGGAAGACGTATAATTTCTTTTGTGCAGGGATGCCAAGACACTTGTCAGCCCACAGTGGAAAAGGGTTAGTGATTACTTCATTTTTCTGTGTGTGTTCTTAAACTATTACCACAGTGGTTGAAATCCCCAGAGGAGAGGTTACTTTAATACAGAAACAGTGGTGGCAAATTCCATCTTTATACTGATTGATAACTGTCACTGCTTTTTTGTTTCAGGTTCTCCTCGATGAACTTTTGTCCACTAAATACTGGGTATCCACGCATGTCTCAGACCACAGTGGATTTCATTACCGCCAGTTCTTACTCAAGTCCTTGCTTGGCAGAACAGTGACTGACAATAATGTACTGGTACAAAATCAAATGGTAAATGAGCAAAACCCTAGCCTTCAAAAGGAGGAGGAGGAGGGTGCAGGGGCAGAAGCTGCCTGTGCAGAGGAGCAGAGCGTGGATCTCCCCCGCCGTTTAGAGGAAGAGTTAGAGCTCTGCACTGAACTGATTGATACTTATCCAGGGCATGAAACCTTGTGGTGTCATAGGTAAGAGGAGTTGGTCAAAAGACTGTCCTTCTGATTTGTGGATTGTTCTTTGCCTGATGTTTCCAGACAAATGGTTATTCTGATTTTAAAAAGTACCACTCAATAAAAGATTTCTAAACTACTATGTCTTAAGCCTTTGGAAAACATTCAAGAGCATAATCAGAGCTATTGAATGGAAAATTTGATTTGGCTTAAGTATCTTGTTGATGTAAGCTCCACTTGTCCCCATAGTTTGTGCAAGAGACACAAGATGCTGTTAATCAGCCTCCTAACACTTAAAATGTTTGAAGGGCAAAAGATGAGCAAAAGATACGCAGAAGGTGGATCAGCTGCAGAAAACCTCTACTTTGCCAGCTGGGTGTGTGTGCCTGACTAGGTAACAGCAGATTTGCCAAAGTGACACTGAGCCCTTTTTTGTAGAGTGTGAGCAGCTGACAGCAGATTTTGGCTGTTTGTGGGGGAATCTGGTGGGATGGCAAGTGAACTGAAGCAGTTCAGCAACAACAGCAGATTATTTTCAGTGCATGACATTTTTTTCTTTTCTTTTCTTTTTTTTTCCTTCCTTCCTTTTCCTCTGAAGAAGGTGTGTGTTCTACCTTCAGCACCACCTAAGCAACAAAATTCCTCTTCTGAGTGCAGTGGTATCATCTGTGGACAGCAGTGATGAAACTCTGAGTAATTCCCACCACAGTCCAGCGACAAGTCACATGGCACAAGCTATGGATGTAGATGGTTTGAATGAATCCAGCAGCAAACAAGGTTATACCCAAGAAACAAAACGCCTGAAGCGTGCTCCTGTGCAGGACTCTCTTGGTCCAGAAGTGGAATATCGGTTCATTGATAAAGTATTATCAACTTGTAGGGATGCGGACCAAGCCAGGTTTGCTACTGCTTATAGGAAATGGCTAGTTACTTTTTTAAGTCAGTGAAGGAAGTGTTTAAAGCATTCAGGGTTCTTTTAGTGCAATATTCTCTTTTCAGACACAAATGCATGTCTTGGTTGCAAGTGTAAGCTAACCATGTGTTTCTCACTCTTTTAATGGTAAGTCCTAAAGTTCATAGTCAGAGTAGAAGTCTGTCACTATTTATTAAAGAACTGGCATACCTTTTTATTAAGCAAATGCAGTTCATTCTTGAATCTTTTTAAGAAATTAGTCTGTGTCATCTTCCTACCATGCCATTTTCTTATTTTTTTAACTTCTACATTAAGCTGGACTCTGAATCATTTGGCTTTAAAAAAAAAAAGTCTGAAATGCTTTTGAAACAGAGTGTCTCAAAAAAGAATAGGAGGATTTATCAGTATCAGCTAAACCTGTTTCCACGTTGTTCATCTTTCCTGAAGTGGCATCTTGCTAATACATTATTGGATTCAGACTATATTCGGTGAGTGGTATTACTTTTGTATTAGCAACCTTTGGTAGAACACCAGAGTGCAGTGTTTCTTTCTCAAGGCTCCAATAACAGTGTTGGAGCCATGCCTTTTACTATTGTAACTGGGTTTTTGTTTGCTTATTGGTTGTCACATGAGTTTGATAGTAAAGTCTATGAAGTTGAAATCCTGAAAAGCAGATACAGGAAAATGTGACAGAAAATAGTTCAAACACATGTTCATATTCACACTCACACTTAGTGTCAGAGCTATATTTGGAAATACTTTTCTTAGAACAGACTACTTTACCTTCATTTCCTACTTGGTATTTATTTATTTATTTTATCTCAACAATCCCAAATTAATGACACTTGATACACATTTCTGAATGTATTATGTACACTACAGAATCTCAGCTTGCTAAATGACACATTGATAACTTGTACTTCACCAAGACCATGCAATTCCAATAGATAATGGAGTAAAAAGTAATTCTTCTGACTGGTCATTGAGACTATACAATTTAAAAAAAAAAAAAAAAGACAGCAGGAGGGAGCTTTCTCTTCACTTTTGTTCTTTTGCAGAGGTTCAGTCTTTGTGTTTCTTTTTTTCTTTTGACTCTTCCTTAAGAGCACTTCTCCAACTATACATCTCTGTTTACATAACTGTAAATTTTAAGGGAATTTGAAACACGTTTCTATTCCAGTGAAATTAAACATGAATGGTTTATTTTGTCATTTCCTTAGAACTTCTCTATATAAGGGATTTTTTACACTAATGGAATTTGCTGGTCCAAAGACCGAGGGGAGAAACATTGTGCAATGTAGAAGTTTGTACAATGGCAACATTGCCTCTGTTCCAAACAGACTATTCACTGAGGGGATTAGATTTTCAAGCTAGAGTCTTCGCCAAAATTGCTGTATATTTCTCCTGCCCAAAGTGCCTCCTGACTGTGATAAGTTTCAAGCTGCTGTTGCTGTTGGGCAGAGAGTGCAAACAATGAGGAAGAAAAAATACAGGTAGCCTGCTCAAAAGGTATAATTTGGAAAGAAAAAAGCTGCTGAAAACATGGAATTCCAGCAGTTCTAAATAATTTGATGGATGGGGGTTACTCTTGCATTTCAAAATGAAAATAGACCACCTCTAGTCTTAGAGAGTATGTTCATAACTCATTTCAGGCACAGGGAAGCTAACAAAGACATTTCTAAATGTATACTCTTCTGTTTACAGTACCTAGGTAAGACTGACCTAGGCTTGAGCATCTCCATGGCAAAGCTTTGTCGCAGTGGGCATTCACATTTGCCTCAGTATAGCTAGGGACGTGTTACATGGCTCTTTGTTTTGAGGTGCTCTGGGATGCTGTCTTGGTTGATGGTTTTAGTTGCAGAAGAACGTAATTGATGTGTGAAGGAGGTGTGGGAATGGCTTGAGAGGATAATTTCATCATAAGATGTTGCCTCTGTGACCACTGACAAATGGGTGGGTTCAGATACAAACTAGAGTCTGAACTTAAGTTCTTAACTTTTGCAAGAACTTTTACCCATTCTGGAGGACCTGATGTTTTTTAAGTCTGAAAGATACATTAAAGCATGTGTAGTAGCCTGGGTCAGCTTGATTAACAATATTCCATTAATGACTAGTATGAACCTGGAAAGAGAAAAAAATATTAAGGATCATGTTCTTGGTCCTAGATTACTTAGACAGTTAGTAATGTAGTTGTGTGTTCTGTTTACCTTGGCAAAAATTACCTGTTCATGAGAAAAACATTAGTGGCAGGAGCAGACTGGGAAGTGGGAGTATGATAAGTATTTCTTGAACTGGAGAAGGCAAGAGGTGCTCTCTTCTTGCATTGGAATGATTGAGGTTTTGAAAGGTAAAGATTTATATTAGAATTTGACTTAAAACCTATTAATATATTTCTTCCAGATTATAATCTGGAGTCTTAGTTGACTTTCTTAGAGCTGTATTGTGGAAGTACTGTGCTATTGAATTTGACAATTTTTCCATCATAAACACTTAAGATCGACCAGCTGCCCTCATATACATGTGTGCAGTTCCTATTCATGTCAGCACAAGTTACGCATGCTTATAGGAAGACAAGATTTGGTCCTATGTAACTGAACAGAGTTGCATTGCATTATCATACTTGGAAAATGTTCTGAAAGTTCTGATTAGAGATGGTGCTGATATTTTTATTACTTCTACAAAACACTGATGGCTGTAGTATGACTCTTAAGTGTGGGTTTTTAAAGCCTACACCTGATGGAAATACCCCCTCATTTTATTTTTTTAATCCAGTGAGAATAATTACATTTGGAAATGTTTGCAGACTAGAGACTACCACACAGAAAACTAAACAATAAAAGCGAAATTGAAACAAGTCATATCTTCCTCTTTGAAAGAAATGCAAACAATAACCTGTCAAAATTGAGCTTTAATTTTTTCATGGTAACAATATAAATTATATGAAAGAAGAAAATATTTAACTAAATTACTTCAAGCTGTCAGTGTCCTAAAGCCTCTTACATGAAATGATTGAAGAGATACTTCCAACAAATTGTATTAAGCTCACAACTGTGTGATGTTCTGGAACTATATGACCTTTGGAACATACCTGTCTAACCATTCAGTATTACTGCAGTCTCATTTGGGCACTGCTTGAAAAAAATAAGAAAAATGCCTTCAGGCCGTTGGTAGTTAACATGCATAAAGGTTACTGAGTACAGCTACTTTAAGTAATGTATTTCAGTTGGTTTTGTGCTTCAGAGATCAGAGAATTACAATCTAGTCATCGTTCTTGCAGAGAAAATGTCCAACAGAAGCTGCAGAATACAAGGCGCTCACTCTCTGAAGTTCCTTCAAATATAAAATCAAACTTTGTACATCTGTAAATGTCATCATATAAAGTTCAGCGTCTTTACTCATTTATCTTCTGCTGTAATATGTGTAACCTGAATTGATGCGAATTCTTTTTGTTCACTGGATTGGTCTTTGTAGAAATTTCTTTGTGCTAGAAACAAAGGGTTTTGAGGAACAAATGTAATTTGAAACTTCAGAAATTAGAATAGAAGGAGTCACATTTTTAAGGGTTTGAATTCTGTGCTGCTAAATACATTAACTTACTTCATTGGCATTTGGTTTATCTTGTACAGTCACTGGAGCAACACATGCAGCATTAAAGATAACTACAATAACAAACTTAAATAAAATAAAGTTGTTATTGGAACTCATTGCTATAGCCATTCTGACTAATATTTGTTAATCTACTTATGCCTGCATGTTAGTGTTTTGTTGACTTCTTATGTATTCTTTATACAATCAAATCCTTGTGTCATTTAAATAAGGGGAAAAGTAAATTTTTTGTTTATACTGTTTGATTAATTACCTTATATAGAACTAAGACAAATAAGCCAAGTGGTAATATAGTGAGAAAGCTTAGATTCTGTCTTACAGTCAAAATTTCTGGCATTTCCAGTTTTGTCTTAGTGCTGCTTAATTGGAATGTGTAGCTAGTCTTTATGAACAGGAGTGAGGTGGTTTTTTTCCCTAAGTAGATAATTAATTAACTTTTAAAACAAGACTGTGTAATATTGATGAGCAGAAACGAAGGGTTTTGAAAAGGCTTGTCTGCATAGCCAGACTCCACAAGCATACTTTTTCAGAATAACGTATGATACAATGAACAAAATGTGACTAACAGAGAATAATTTAAGTGGTGAGTCTTCAGAGACTTGATGATTAAATTTTTGGGCGAGGTTGTTAGCTTAGTTTTGTTTTGCCTTCTGTGAGGGAAGAATGTTCCTTAGTTTTTTTAATTTAGTAGGAAGTGAACCATTGCACTTACAGTGGTGGTGGTGAAACCCACAACTCCCGAGTTGTGTCTTCTAGAGCAATTTTGGAAGAAGAAGCAGTCAAGTGAAATGTAGATGCAACTTTTAAATGTATGTTTGTCCTGTACTCATTTGGTGATGAGAGGTCTTCACAGTTAGATCTTACTGTTTTATTAATGTCAGATATAAAGGAAGAGGGTAACTCGCCTATTCTCAAATGCACTTAACATTCAAGCTAGTTTCAAAGGAAGTTCAGTGTCCCTGTCTATGATAATTTTCTTTCTCCTTTTCCCATGTGCTCAGAGGTGTGTTTCCTTCCCAACCTCTTCTCTTGTTCTTCCAACCAGCAAAGAAGAATGTAGCAAAGCATTGGTGAGGTGGCCTCATTTCGTGTCTAGATAACTCTGACTACCTCCCCAAAAGTGCTCTGATTGATGTCCTTAAGTGGAGTTCATCAGGCTCAATTTTTTCAGAACCTCATGCTAGGCGTGCATCCTCTTTCAGAGGTGAAAAGCAAGAGCTTTGTCTATGACGCCATCTAGTTTCCCCAGAAGAGTTTAAAGGGAAAAAAAAATATCTTGTAGTTAAAGTTGGGAAAACTAGAATTAGCATAAACTTTCATTTAATCTTTTCCTCTGAAGGAGCAGTATATTGCTGAAAAATGGAGGGAAAGACGTGCTTCCAAGAAATTCCTTGTAGACAGTTTATGCTTTTGAATTATAGACCTGACACTTTCTAGTGGCTTTTACTTAGCGTGTAATGTTACTTCTCAGGGCGTAGTGTATTGTAGTGAATTAGGGTACATTTTTACAGTTTATAATAATTGATATTAAAAAAACCCACAAACATAAATGC